AAGCATCTTTGTGGAGGAATTGGATGAGGATGTTCAAGCTGTTGGTGACTTGGGAAAAGATCTAATTTTCTACCAAGACCAATTTTGTCATGAGCTTCAACTACTCTTATATACAGAGCTCCGTTGGATTTTCAATTTCTATGGAGTGATTCCAACCCAAGTGAAGTCGAATTCAATTGTCATGATTATTTCATACGCGAACCTTTGCAGAAGGAGCATTCCTTGGTCCTACAAACTAATTTTGTACATGTTCTCCCTCCAAGTTGAGCTAGAGAGTTAAGTGGATTTTTGCATCACCCGAAAGTCTTATTTAATTGATTTGGAGAACAAGATAAAAGATTGAAAGCTTCAATTTTTCAATGGCGTCTGTAATGAGCGAGGAATCATGACCAGGGAAATATGTGATTGATATAAAAAATGTTAGACGGTTTCATCAAGGTTGAAAGTAATGGAGTAGGTTTTTCTCTATTGACAACTATCAGTGGTTCTATACATTGACCCACTGACTATAAATCGAGTGGTGAACTCAAGTGAATATGGCCAAATGACAGAAGAAATGTGGGACACTTTTGACGTGACTGAAGAAATAAATGGAGCTAGATAATGTCGCTCAGCTTTCGAAGAAAAAGATAACGAAAAGTAAGAGAGTGAGTGGTTCCCTCATGGGAGAAACAGAAGAGGGAACTGAAGAAGCCAACACAACAATGCGGCAATTTCTAGGTTTGGACTTCGTTCAACCACTTTCAAAAACTTCATTGTTATGCATAAATTTACAGAAAAATTAATACCTACCAAGAGATTACCTTCCTCAGTGATTATAAGTGGTTCCAAAGTTGATGAAACTCCTTCCTTTTTCCCATGGATACTAAAGGGTCGTCCAAGCTTCTTTCAACACAGGAGATCTCTCAAATGTCTTCAGCAGGTTTTATCACTTTGTCAGAGAGAACTGAAGCAAGCTGACAGTTGCCTCAGGTGCAGGTCGAGGGAGAGCCAACTATTTGATATCTTAGGAAAATTTGAAAGAGAACCCTGATTAGGTTGGGGTAGCTCAACACAGGAGGAAGGGAAAATCTGTCTTCTCTTACTCTTTCCTCCAAATCGATTCTCCAGCAAAAGAATGATGAAATGTTTATATGAATTCTGATCCTAGTCTTGGTCTATTGAACATTAAGATGGATTGGTTCCCCTTGAATATGGCATTGACAAGATATGCTTTTAGACTTGCTGACATTCTTTGGTGAGCAGGCTTGGTTAAGGATCTTTACGAAATCTTCCTGGTTGAATTGTACCAATCGCTCGACCATTACCAGCTCTTAGGTTATGTCTCTAGTCACCACTTAAACTCCCTCAACTTTTATATGAGAGAGAGATTTTCTAAGCCTTAGGAGTGGCTAGGAAATATCAGAAATAGATGGAGCTAGCTACCATGAGGGCAGCTAAGTCGGAGGCTGACTTGAAAGATGCGAGGGCAGAACTAAAAATATTGTCTGAATGGATTTCAGTGGTTTAAGTGGAGAATGCTGAATTGACATAGTGGATTTCTATAATGATGACAGCTAAAGTACTCCTCACCACAAAAGTCAAATACCTGGAGGTGCTCCAGATGATTGTGGTTGACGAGTTTGCTAAAGTGGGAATGATTGACCCTAAATATTATAAGCTTGGGGAATTTAAGAAGCTCTATGACGCTCCATCCACTTTTGAGCATTGTGAGGAATCAGAGCGAGGTAATAAGGTAGATGGTGGATCATCCAACACTTAACCCAAAGATCCATAGATTTGGCCACACTCTTTGTTTTTTTTAACTCAAGGTGTACATACAAAGGTTTTGTAATAGACGTTTATATGAATGAAATTGTGACATTTTGGTCATTTTTTACTTGTGGCTATGTATTCATATGTGCTAAACTCTTATAATCATACTTTGCTTCATTCATATAATTTGCCTCATCTTTTTTTTTTAACTGGAAACCAAAAACACCTCATAAGGCAATAAAATGTAAATTCAGAACTTTAGAAAAATTCTATGCTTTTGATTCACGTTTTGGGATGTCGTATGTATTTTTTTTGTAGTGACTACGTGTTGGGGTGTTTTTCGGTTATTTTTTATTGTATTACAACGAAAAGTGAAAATGATTTTGGTTAATTTGTTTGTGACCAGACGTCAGAACACTTCTTCAGTTTTCTTGTTTGCAGCTAAGTGCCAGAATACTTTTTTGGCAGACCGTCTTTGGTATAACACTACATAATCCTATGTTCTTATCAATCACAATTTGTATTTTTTATTATAATCATCATTATGATGACCAATAAGTTTTTCTTTTCTTTTTTGTGTTTTTTTTTCAGTTGAACTTTGTTTTGCATAGTGAAGGTGACCAAACTTACAAATTGGTTTTGAAATAGAAAAGTACGGCTTATACTGAAAGGAAAATTTTATAAGATGGAGGTGAAACCTGCAATGCTCTATAATGCTGAATGTTGGCCTTTAAAAGAGAAGCATAATACTAAGTTTAAGTGTTACCAAGAAGAGAATGACTAGGTAGATGAATAGCTTTACACTTAGAGACAAAATGTGAAATGAATATATTCATGATAGGGTTGTTGTAACTCCAGTGAGAGACAAAATTAGAGAAAGTCATATTGGATGGTTTGGTCACATTAAACGTTGACCATCTGATGATCTGATTAGGTGAGTAGATGTTTTAGATTTGTCTTATGTTAAGAAAGACAAAGGTTAACCTAGGAAGAGTTGAGCTTATTGTATAAAAAGTGATCTTAATTTTTTAGAACTAAATGAAAATATGACACTAAATAGGACATAATAGAGAAAAAGAATTCATGTAGCCGACCCCACGTAGGGAGATTAAGGCTATGTTGTTGTTATTATTTTGAAATACTATTATGCAAGATTTGACTTGAGACTTTTATTTCTACTTGTATTAATATGGAGCATCTTAAGGGAAATATTTTTATTAAAATAGTTTTTTAATCACCACATAAATCTGTTACATTCCATTAATAAGAACATAGATTGTGTAGAGGAATGTGATTAGTATTTTTTTATAACTTTCATATTCACATAATAACTTATCTGTTAACACTTATAAGCAATCAACTAAAAAACCTAATTTTTGGCATCTGAATGTGTGGAAGATAAGTTTTACTAAAATATCATAGAATAAATTATAGAAGTAAACAACCTGAAAGTTTCACAATTCAAGGATGGATTCATGGAGCGATTCTTTGGGTTTAATTCTCTGGTTTTCTAGATTTTGTCTTGTTTATTGATTTCTTTCCCCTCATTTATTCTTATGTTGGATTTACTTTTTGGTGATTTCTTCCTCACTTAACCAACCTTCACATTGGAAGATTCTTGCAGGCAATCATAGTTCATTTTATATTGATGCTAAGAATTACTTATTTCATATTGATTTCAAGGATAAGATGGTAGAGGGCTCATCCACTGGTCTCTTAAAGAAGGCAGCCTATAAAAATGATAAGCTAGTGTTCTTTTATCAAGAAGAGGAAACTAAGGCTTTGGCAGAGCCTTTAAGGTTTACTTTGGATGGGAAATGAACATTGGTCCACCCTAAAATGAAGGTTATTTGCAAATTTTTTGCAGATTTAAAACTTCAAGGTCACTTGAATGTCTGGCTTTTAAATGAAAAGCATCTTATGATTAGAATGGAAAAAGAAGTTGATTAAGCTTCTTTATTTTCATGGAAATTCTTTCAAATCAAAAGGGTTAACATAGAGATTTTGAAGTGGACTACGACAATTAATCCAACAGAAGAGCAACCAATTGTGCTTATCTGGTTTTGATTTCTAGGTTTGAAATTACATTTATTGAATGTGAAACTTTTGTATTCTTTAGCTGCTATCTATGGTACATCAATGAAGATAGATCATGCTACCTTAAATTTCCTTAGACCTTTTGTTTCCCATGTTACGATAGAAAGGGATGTTTCTCTACCTTGTTGTGATTCAGTTTGGATTGGAGATTTGAATTCTAGTTATTGACAAAATGTTGAAATGGAATATGTTCCTCCTTATTGTGGGAAATGTACAATGTTTGGCCATAATTTGGTTAATTCTCATATTTCTCATCCTGATTTGAAAATTCTTAAGTATGGACATAATATGAAAAGGAAATGGAAGGCAAAGAAGATGGAGGTAAAGATGAAAAGGTAGGTGAGGTGATATGTCGTGGTGCTAATGTCTTGTATAAAGAGGCTGATGTTAATTGTATGTAAATCTGTGATCCACATGTTGACATTAATGTGAAGGGAAATTTTGAGGATATTAATGTTGGAAGGATGGGTGTTTCTACTTTTTCTAATATAGATAAAATGTGTACTGATGGAGGATTACCTTTGGTGGGAGAAACAAATGATGGGATTCAAGGAGTTGATAAACTGAATAATAGTATTAATGAGATTGAAAATATTAAGATTATTGAGAATCCTCAGTTGATAGCATTGATAATTGTTTGGTTCTTACCAAAACTGAATTAGAGGATGGCTGATTCCAAAAATATTCTAGAAAAAAGAATATTAAAGAAATAAGGGAACTCAAATGTGTGAATCCGCTCAATTGTAGTTGAATGGTGAATGGAATAAGCTGGATATTAACTCTTCTTTTAGAATTACTAGAGCATCTAAATTTAATAATGCTGTTTAACTTTTTCATGTGGAATATTAGAGGTATTGCTAAATTGAATGCTTCTAATATGTTAAGAAATATCATTCGGTATTATAAAATTAAGTTTTTTGGCATTCTTGAACCACTTGTGGCTGTGTAGAATAATGAGCAATATTTAAGAATAATTGGGAAATTTAATTTGTTTACTAATTCTATAACAAAATCATGTTTCTCTGGAGAAGTTTAGTTAATGTTGACATTCTTGTGGATCATACTCATTTTCTAAATATTAAGTTTCCTTAGAAAGTTGTTCTTTTCTGGTTACTGTAATTTATGTGGGGTGTAATAGAAAGACTAGAATGGAACTTTGGAATCGGTTATGTCTTAAGCTTGGCAATGATGTCTGGTTGGTTGGAGGGGTCTTTAATTTGATCACTTCTGTTAGTGAGAACAAATGTGGAAATACTCCTAATTTGATTTTGTTGGCTGATTTCTCTGATGCACAGTTGAAGATAGATCTTTTTGTTTTGGGTTTTAACGGTTTTGCCTTTACTTTGTCTAGAGGACATGTTTTTGAAAGGTTGAATAGATTTGTGTCCAATAATCATTGGGTTAATTTTTTCCCTATTACTAAAGTGCAACATTTTGCTCTCCTTGGTTCAAGATTAGTATTAAACCTCATTTTTACCATTTCAGATATCTTAATATGTGGATTATTCACCCTTCTTTCAAACAATTTGTTTCTGATAAGTGGAAAATTGCAGTTGTTGGTAATGTTGGTTATAAATTATGGCAATTACCGAAAAGGTTGGCTCTTTACCTCAAAAAAATGGAATTAAGAGGTTTACAACGATCTTTATATTATTATTTATAATGCTTATAATGAAGTTATGATTTTAGAACTGGAGTGTAGGTAGCTTTGATACTTTACTTGAATGGCAAAATGAGTTAAATACAACTATCTCCATGGAAGAAGCACACTACAGTCAAAAAGATGTTGGTCAATAGATGATGGATGAGGACAATAATGTTGCTTATTATCATGCTTGTATTAAAAAGCGGAGGATGACAAATGTTATTAATAATATTAAGAATTCTAATGGTTGTTATTTCTTGGACAGTGATTTGATCGAAGAAGATGGGATCATATATTTTTCTTGTTTCCTTCAAATTGATGGTAAGCTGTTTGTTAAGATTGATTGTGATGTTTACAATGTGTTTCCTTGTTTCAGTAACATGGAACTTACTTTAACTTCTAAATATGAGGAAATTAAGCTTGCTCTTGAAAGCAGTGATAGTGGTAAGTCTGCTGGTTCTGATGTTTTATCTGTAGCTTTATACAAAAGTTTTTGGGAGGTGGTTAAATTGTAGTTTATTGTCGATGTTAAAGTATTTTTGAAAGCTTATGCTTCCTAAGTATTTCAAATATGCTAAAATTGTTTAATTCCTAAAAAAAAATTATTAGTTGGGAAGCCTACAAACCTATCCGTTTGAATAATGTAGTTTCTAAAATTGTTTCTAAAATTATTGTGAATATAATTCAACATCTTCTACACAATTTTATTAGTTGTAATCAGTCGAATTTTTTCATAATGAGGAATATTTGTAACAGTGCTCTTACTATTCAACTATTTCTTAACTTGGATAAAAAGGCAGAAGTGTGAATATTATTTTCAAAATGGACATTAAGAAGGCTTATGATACTATCAGGTAGGAATTCATTCTAGAGGTGCTTAATGCTTGTGGATTTAACAATGATTTTGCTGTCTCATTCACAGAACTTTGGATAATTACTATTGTTTTCTTTTGATGAATGGTAATATTTGTTGTTTCTTTAAATCCATTAAACGTATTAACCAAGGAGATCCATTATCTCCTATTTTATTCATAATTGCTTTTGCTATCTTTCAAGGTGTTTGAATGCTATATTTAATAAATATCCTAGCATGTATTATGTTCACAAAGGTAATATTGGTTTTTCTCATTTTGATTATTTTGATGATTTGATGATCTTCACTAATGCAAGAAGAAGTTCAATTAAATTGGTTTGGAAAGTATTAGATCATTTTAAAGAAGCTATTGAGCTTCTGTTTAATGTTTCCAATGTATTTTCTATTGTTCTAACACTATTTCTCCTAGCAAGTAAAATTAGATGTAGAACTTTACAAATCGTGCTAAAGGGGAACTTCCTATGCCTTATTTGGGTTGTTTGATGGAGAAAGGCAAAAAAAATATAGCATCTCTTTATGAATTTGATTTACAAAGTCAATAACAGAATTTTATCTTTAGAAAATAATTTTCTTTCATTTGGAGGAAGTGTTAGTCTTTTAAAAAGTATTCTTACTTCTCCTCTACATTATGAAAATTAATAAAGTGCCTTCTAACATTTATTAGAGGTTGGAAAAGATGTTTAATAATTCCTTTGAGCTTCTAAGGAACATAAATTCCCTGAAAAAGTTGGCATAAACTTTGTAAGCCTATCAACAACGGTGGCATGGGGTTCATGAGTTTTAATGATATGATGAAAATTAATTTCATGAAACTTTAGTTTGAATTTAGAAAGGGTAATTCTTTATGGGATTTTTTGGTGAAAGCTAATTATTGTAAGCATAATCAACCTATTTCTATTACTCATAATGATGTCTCTATCTTTTGAAAAGAGATGTTCAATGTATCTAAGGATACATAAGAGCTAATTTGTTAGAATATTGGAGATGGCAATTGTAGCTTTTGGTATGAGGACTGGTTAGGTAATGGGGCCCTTTGTGATCTTTATGGGGGTCCTTATAATTTAAAATTCTATGCAGCTAATTGTTAGCTTGACGATTAGTGGAATGTTGGTACTTTGCTAAATAACGTTAAGTGGGCTGATGCCCATTTTATTGCTAAAATACCCATCAATAGTGGTAAAGCTGATGTCTTGAAAATTAATGGTGCTTTGGGGGATTATATTTCTAAATTTTTTGCTACTTCTTTCCAGAATCTTCAAGGGTTAACTTGAATTGGACTTGGAATTTGTTGGTTAAAACTTCTCAATCCTTTTTTATTTAGAGAATTGATCACTTTATTATCCATACTAATGATATTTTGAAGTCGAAGGGTTTGAGGATTCCTTCATGTTATTTAATATGCAAGAATCATGAGTCTATCAATCAACTCATTATGAATTGTAGCGTCTCGACTGATATTTGGAATCATATCTATGCTTTATTTGATAGATGTTTTATTACAAGGCTGATCAGAACTGTTTTTGATCTTATGGATGACTATAAAGGGTATTGAGTTGGCTTCTATGATGATATTCCTACTATTGGTTTTTGGTTTACATGGTTGACTAGAAGTAATTTAAAACATCTTGATATTATGGTTAATAGCTCCAATACTTTTATGATGATTATGAGACTTTGTTAAAAAAGTGAAATATGAGAATATTAAGAAATCTATTAACATAAAATTGTTAGAGGTTTATTTTAATTTAATGCACCTTTTATTGAAAGGCTGATTCCTGATTTTAATTTAAATTATTGGATTAAACCTGTTATGTCCTTTATCAAAAATAACATTGATGGGAGATAGAAATTTGATGTTTCTGGTGTTGGAGGTGTTTGCAGGGATTGTTTTGGGAATTGCTTAGCTTGTTTTGTGGCACTGTTCCGATTTCTCCACTTGTTGTTGAGGTTGATGTAGTTGTTTGTGCTCTTATTTTAACTAAAAATTTCCTTTAGAAGTAAATGCATTTGGAGATAGAATCTTTAATGTTGTTGAACTTTTGATCTTGTAAAAAAAATACTGATCCCCGATACTGCTTATATGCAACAATATAAGACTGTCTCTGATTATATTTTCACTTATATTTTCTTAATTTGCAATAGAGTCAAAACTTATTCCTGAAGGACTTGATCCTAAAGAAAGAATTTAACTTTTTGATTTATATATATATATATATTGGGACACTACACAAGTATACGTGTCGTTATCATTTAATATATGACTTTTTGATTAAAACCTAAATATGGAGCCCACAGGGAAATTATGCAATATGCTCTATTGAATAACAAACTTTCTATTTTAAAAAAACAATTACTTAAACTAGAGATGTATTTGCAGTAATTAAAATTCAAATATTTTTGGTACTTTTGATATTGTGAAAAAATAGTAACAATTTAAAAAGATAACTTGAGTTTATGTAAAAGAAAAGAACTGAATTTGAAAATATCTTTCTCCTTATCATGAATCAGTAATAAGCATAGTAATTCCGTTGTGGAAGTATGCAAAATTTGTTGTGCCAAATAGGAGCAATTATATTCTTTACCCTTACTAGAGATGCTATAAAGAACATTGACTAATTTAAAGTTTGAAAAGTTCTGAAGACCGGCTAGGCAGGGAAGATACCAGCTCTCACTCTAGAGTTCCCTTGATTCACTCCACTTGGGGGCTAACATCTCGTATCAGAACCTAAAACAATAAACCAAGTTGGGGGCTTTAACCTGTCATTTTAAATTCCTCTAACTCTACACCCTTCAATGATTATTTCCCTATTTTTTTGCACTAAATCATATGAATTACATTCTAACTCATACAACCTCATGTGATTCTTTCCAATTGTTGACTGAGACAATACCAGCCCGGTTCTTAGATGTTCTCACAATAAATTTTAACATCTATATGAGCTAGATCAAGAAGTAAATGAAGTGCATTGAATTGAATCATCACAACTTTTTTCAACATTAAAGATTAATACTCTCCACAACTTCCATCCCACATATTAATTATTTATCATTTTAAGGAGAAAGATAAAGAAAACTACTCAGAATCCATGGAGAAAACAAAACCACACTTTAGTTTAAAAGTAGAAATCATTGTCAAACCAACAAAAAGTTTTGATTAAAACCAAAAGTAGTTTAAAAAAAGATCAAAACTTATCTCAAATTCTCCACCAAACTCTTGACGTTCCTTTGCATCATTTCTCTTTTACAACACTATGAACTCTCAAAATAAAACTAAAAACAAAAAGAAAAAGTAAATTTTGTGGTGCCTGAATCTCTCCACAATATTTTCCATGAACTTCTGAGGACTCCAGCACTGTCTGCCTCTTCAAGAACCCACTTAAAATGTAAAAACTTCCTTCTTTTATAAATCTCCAAGAGGTGCCTTGATAACTCTTCAAAATGTGTCCAAATTTGATGTATTCTCTAAGGGATACCTCCTTACACAAGTCTTTTAATAATATTTTTGTTCTTAGTGGCCATAACCACCCTCTTTAGCCAATAGGTGTCTTAAATACCTCTTCAAAATTTGGCCAAATGAAGAAAACCGCCAAATAACTGCCTCTGGCACTTAAGCACGGGGCCTGTGGCACTTAGGCGTGGCCTTCTCTTTGTCACTGGCGCTTAAGCATTGGATCTGGTGCTTAGGTGCCAAAACACTTTCGAACAATTTTCAACTCTTTGCTCCAAATTTGATCCTTTTTCTCCCCTTCTAGCACTTTTCACCTTTTTTAGTTATACCTGAAAGAAAAACACATAAATATCTTCCATTAGAGCACAATATCTCAAAAATAGGTATAAAAATGTGTCTAAAAATACTATATATTTTAGGTGTTTCAAAATCCCTCAAACTTAAAATGTTACTTGTCCTGAAGTGACACTTCAATCTTTAAAAACTAAATAAGTATGATATGTATATGAGTTTCTTTAGAAGTTACTAAAATTTAGTAGTCGAAAAATTTAGTAGTCTAATTTAGAAAAAATATTCAGTAAATGAACCCAACTTAAAGTTTTAGAAATTTTTAATATTAAGAAATATAAAAATATGAGTTTTTATCTAATGTAGAAATATTGTAGATTTTCCAAATTTAGAATTTAGTTCTTTTATTATCTCTACTCAAACAATTTTACTTACTATATTATATTTTTAAGCTTAAGATTTTCTGAAGTCTTACACTTTAAAAAGTTCAAATGTGGAACCAATTTTTGATTAGACGCTAATCCTCAAGCTTCTCCTACCTTATTTTCTTCTTTTTTTTTTCTATTTCTTTTCTTTTACTTTTCCTTTTTTTTCTTCTTTCTTTCTTTTTTCTTTTTTTTCTTTTTCAGGCAAGGATTACCATATCTGGATAGGTCTTTAATGGTTTTGAGTTCCACTTCTCATTTCCTAAAGCAATGTCTTGATATAAGTCTTTTACTTAAAAATACAATAATAGTTTTGAAAATTATTTTAATAAAAGAAAATTAAGTATTAAATATAAAAGTCCAAATTTTCAAAATTTTCAAAAATAAAATTTTTCTTAGTAAAGATAGT